AAAGTAGGATGAAAGTAGATTGCTAGTGGAGAAGAGAGATTTGCAGTTTTCTCAGGTATTGTTGAGAAGTGGTGTTTGTGGAAAGATTTGAAAGAGTTGAAGGAGCAAATCATTTTGGTGCCAGAGGAGCAGACTGTTCAGACAGAGGGAACAGCCAGTTCCCTTGGTGGTCACTTGATCAGGTGGAGGGGTGAATGGGTACATATGTGTGTGTGAACATCCATCTCAAGGTCTATTGGCTCTTTCTCCTTAGGCCTATCCTTTTGTTTCTCAGGTGCCATGAGGAAGCCTCGCAGAAAGTCACGGCAGAAGGCCGAGGGCCGGCGTTCCCCGTCCCCCTATAGTCTCAAGTGCTCACCTACCCGGGAGACCCTGACATACGCCCAAGCTCAACGAATTGTTGAGGTGGATATTGATGGACGTCTGCATCGTATCAGCATCTATGATCCTCTCAAGATCATTACCGAGGATGAGCTGACTGCCCAGGACATCACTGAATGCAATAGTAACAAGGAAAACAGTGAGCAGCCTCAGTTCCCTGGCAAGTCCAAGAAACCCTCATCCAAGGGCAAAAAGAAGGAGTCCTGCTCCAAGCATGCATCTGGCTCTACCTTCCATCTCCCACAGCCCAGTTTCCGCGTGGTGGACTCAGGCAGTCAGCCAGAAGCACCCCCGCTGCCCGCTGCCTATTACCGATACATTGAGAAGCCACCTGAAGACCTGGATGCAGAGGTAGAATATGACATGGATGAGGAGGACCTTGCTTGGCTGGATATGGTGAATGAGAAGCGGCGAGTAGATGGGCACAGTTTGGTGTCAGCAGATACCTTCGAGCTACTGGTGGACCGGCTTGAGAAGGAGTCATACTTGGAGAGTCGCAGCAGTGGAGCCCAACAATCACTCATTGATGAAGATGCCTTCTGCTGCGTGTGCCTGGATGATGAATGCCATAATAGTAATGTCATTCTCTTCTGTGACATCTGCAACTTGGCTGTACACCAGGAGTGCTACGGTGTCCCCTACATCCCTGAGGGCCAGTGGTTGTGCCGCTGCTGCCTGCAGTCTCCCTCTCGGCCTGTGGATTGTGTCCTCTGTCCCAATAAGGGTGGCGCCTTCAAACAGACCAGTGATGGACACTGGGCCCACGTGGTGTGTGCCATTTGGATCCCTGAAGTCTGCTTTGCTAACACCGTGTTTCTGGAGCCTATCGAGGGCATTGACAATATCCCACCTGCCCGCTGGAAACTAACCTGCTATATCTGCAAGCAGAAGGGGCTAGGTGCAGCCATTCAGTGCCATAAGGTTAACTGCTACACAGCTTTCCATGTGACATGTGCACAGCGAGCTGGGCTCTTCATGAAGATTGAGCCTATGCGTGAAACTAGCCTCAATGGCACCATCTTCACAGTGCGTAAGACCGCCTACTGTGAGGCCCACTCACCGCCAGGTGCTGCCACTGCTAGAAGGAAGGGTGACTCCCCCAGAAGCCTCAGTGAGGCTGGGGATGAGGAAGGTCTGAAGGATGGTGGGGAGGAGGAAGAAGAGGAAGAAATGGAAGAGGAGGAGCAAGAAGGCCAGGGTGGGGTGGGTGGGCCCCTTAAGGGAATGCCCAAGAAGAACAAAACAAGTTTGAAGCAAAAAATCAAGAAGGAGCCAGAGGAAGCAGGCCGAGACACACCATCCACTGTTCCCATCGTCACTGTCCCACAGATACCTTCTTACAGGTGAGCATACCCAAGACTCCTTGGGGCTTCATGGTTTCTTTGAGCTGGTGTTGGCCTGGGCCAGGCCTTCGCCAAATACAGTAGACATCTGTTCTCTTCTTTGCTCCCCAATTTAAACTCCTTTGGACCTGGGCTCGCCTGACCTGATTTGTAGTTTTTGATTATATCCTCAAGAGTAGTGTATTTCCTTTGATTCAAAGTAAAATAAAGCATTTAAGTTACTTAGAAACTCAGGTGACAAGATATCTAAGAAAGTATTTTTCAACAAGGACATTCGAGGCAGGATAATTCTTCATTGTTAGAATTATCTCATGGGGAACCAGCAGTTAGCGTAATGGCTATGTCGCTGGACTCCCACGTAGTCGACCGTGGTTCGCGTCCCGAACCCGGTGGCTTAAAACTCACGCCAGGTGCATGTGCGTGTGTGCCCAAGATCCCGAGAGGAGAATGGAGAAGGGATTGCGGCGTGACCATCCCCTCTGGGGGGTGATTTCTCACTTTCTGTCTCTATGTCTCTCTTTATCTGGCGAGCGCACACGCCCTATAGCAAAAACCTCTCAAAAAAAAAAAATTATCCCATGCATTTTTAGATGTTTAGCATCCCTGGTCTCTGTAAATGTCAGTTATATCCCCTGCCCCACTGCCTGGTCTTCGTGACAATCTCATATGCTCCTGCACATGTTTCCAAAAACCTGTGGGGAGGATAGAAATAACCAGTGGAGAACCACTGTTTCAAGGGGACATCATAGGTATTTGCTGTCCTACAATCTCTGTCCTGGGTATGGTAGGAACTCTGTATGAACAGGTGGGTGGTGTGGAAAGAACTTGCCATTCTTCAGCTCTTGAGTAGTTTTAGATTTAGGGGAAAGAGGATCACTCTTTAGCTGTATAACTAAACCCACTGGGCTCCTATTAAGTCTGTAGGATGGTATCTGTTTTAAACCAGAGAGTAGTGGCTGGAGCTGTTGGAGGCATGGGAGCTTGGCAGAGAAGTAATTTTCTAGCAGAGGCTAATCTCAATGTGTTCATTAAAAAGCATATAGTGTTAGGGCAGGAAGAAATCTTGGAGATTGTTCATCTAATGTAGTCCTTGCACCGTCTCCCACACCCCCAGATGAAGAAACTGCGGCCACATGAGGTAAAGTTGTCCTCTCCACTATTCACTCAATGAGATTTATTGAGCACTCACTACATGTCATGTCTTGTTCCAAGGGAACAGGTGGAAAGCAATAACAGACTCCATGCTGAGGTTTATGACATCTCTAGATTGTGTTTCTGCTGTCTGTCTCTTGATGAGGAAGTTAAGAAGGAATGGGTACTAGAGAGTACTGGAGAATGAGTTGTATGAGGGAACAAGTAACCAGACCCCAGGAGTGTGACGCTTTCAGTGTGAACCCAGCTCTGAGTTAGAATTTGACAACTTCAGATGTGTTTTCTAATCAGAAAACTCTTCTCTACTACCCTCTTTCAAGAGGTGAGTGGGTTGATGCTTGATCTCTGTCTGTACAGTGGTTATACCCTGGGCTAGACTCTGGTTGTTCTGTCTGCTTTTCTATTATAGATACCTCTTGCAGGGGCCAGCATAGCATGGTGGCTAAGAACCAGACAGACCTTCTGTCACTTAATACCCATGTAATCTTTGGCAAGTTGCTCAAGTTGCTTAACTGCTGTAAGCCTTGCTTTATTTATTTGAAAGTGAACTCATCACATAGAGTTGTGGGAAATAAATAAAGTAATATTAGTAAAGCACTTAGCACATAGTAAGTGCTCAATAAATAGCTGCTGCTGCTGCTATCTTACTGTTATTATTCTTTTCTGTATCTGCCCAAATGCTGTTGGAACCTTCCATGGCCAAAGGTTATAGAGGGAGGGGGCTGCCTACATCTGGACAGGTGCGCTTGGCATGGACTTTGGTGGGGATCTGCCTAGGGAAAAACCTAGGCCTTACTTTTATAAGCTTGGCTTTGGGGCAGGAATGTCTATCTGTGGAAAGGAGCAAGGCCTAGGTAAGAAGTGTCCAGCCCCAAACGCCCTTCCTTCTTAGGTTCTACCTGTAATAGCTACACTTATCTTCCTTTCAGTGGGATGGAATGAAATGAAAAAGAGGAGATACCACAGGAGCATACCACCTTGCCTGCTCTGTGCTTAACTAATTGGGGATGCATTATAGCATAGTAGAGAGATTGAGGATTCATATCCCACCTAGATCCCCACGGCATTAATTACTTTGACAATTTATTCAGTCTCTGTTCCTAAGCTGCCTTTCCATCTTTTATAACATGAAAATTATGTTACCCCTCCCACACACTATAGATAGGCACTAGGATAGAGATGCTAGGATCTTATTAGTTCCTGTCCTATCTATCCCTTTCCCTTACCCTCCAGTGTTACTGGGTTACACTGTGACCTTAAGGCTTCTTTTTTATTTTTATTTTTATTTATTTATTTTTTTGAGAGGTTTTTGCTATAGGGCACGTACATTTGCCAGAAAGAGATGGAAAGCGAGAAATCACCCCCCGGGGGATGGCCATGCCACAGTCCCTTCTCCTCCATTCTCCTCTTGGTATCTGGGGCATGTATGCACACGTGCCTGGCGTGAATTTAAGCCACTGGGTCTGCGACTGGATCTGCAGTCGACTATATGGGAGTCCAACGACATAGCCATTACACCAACTGCTGGTCCCAAGACTTCTTTTTTAGATAGGTTAGCTAGCTAAGTTTTCAGATTCTCCATCTCCTTACACCTTTAGTTCCTTCCCCTCTCCCCCATTTGGTTCAAAATTAAGGTATATTTAGGCTGCTTAGATGTTTAAATGAAAAACAGAAATCAGACCATTCTAAGAAGTTGCATTGGGGCTCAGAAAGCAGTAACCTAGTACATTGCTATTGCTTTTTTTTCCAACTTGGATGTGGGCTACCCCCTGGTCTGGTGGGACCCTTACTGCAAGGGGCAAGAAATAGTGACCTCATAGTTTACTCAGGTTCCTGTTCCCTTTAGCTGTCTTTATTCAGAGGAGAATAGGGATGCTGGGGCACAGGCATGTTTCTCAGTCAGTACCTAGACTGAAGAAGTTCAGGACCAAAGGAAACAGGGTTTCTGGGAGAGGGTTCTTGTGGAGGATCAGGACTACAAGACGGGAGATAGAAAAGCAAGTGAAGTGAAGTATCTCGAGGCAGAAAAGCAAGTGAAGTATCTCTTACCAAATTTGAGTGCTTAATTTTGTATCCTTTTTAAGCCTTTTTCTGAGGTGAGGCATTTGGCTACTTCTGTTTTCTTCTATAAGATTCAGAAATGAACTAGGTCTGGATAGGATGCACAGGCTTTAATCTGGGCTGCCCACTGACCCTGTCTTTCACTTCCCTGTGCCTCTACTCAAGGTTGAACAAGATTTGTAGTGGTCTCTCCTTTCAAAGGAAAAACCAGTTCATGCAGCGGCTTCACAACTACTGGCTGTTGAAGCGTCAGGCACGGAATGGTGTCCCTCTCATCCGGCGCCTGCATTCCCATTTGCAGTCCCAAAGAAACGCTGAGCAGGTAGGTACAGTGGTACTTGAGGTTGTGAGAGGGAGGCAGAGAATGAAGAAGGAACAATGGTTGCCATCCCTCCCTGAGCCTTCCAAGGAACCTTTGCATATAGGGGATCACTCTCTGGGTGTGGTTTGTCTCAGGAACCACCTGCAGCACAGCAGAGATCTTGACATCAGACAGCAGCCCCTCTAGGTGGGATTGGGAGAGACTTCACTTTGTAGCAAATTCTAGGGGAGAGTAGAGATCAAGCCCAGCTTTGCACACATGTGGGAAAACCTTCCAAATGTGGCAGAAAGTGAAAAGAGGTGGAATTAATGTGGCCGGGGTGGCTGCATTGTGTGAATTAGGAAAAGGTGCCTTTTCTTTGAGATACTATACTGCCATCTGCCAAAAAGTATTTTATAATAAATATACAAATTTAAGCACTAAGTTGTAACACACAGCCTATCCCATTGTGGCTGTTAGCCATCAGCAACTGGAATTGCTGCATGTTTAATGTTTTCTCCTTCTAATTTCCCTTCTACTTTTTTATTTTTAATTTACTAAGGGTACATGCACTTGCCAGAATGGAGAAGAGAGAGAGAAAGGGGGAGAAAGCACTCTGAGTAGGGCATGGTCACATTGTAATCCCCTCCCCTCCAGTTCTCTATTCTCTTGGGATTTTGGGCACACACATGTTCCTAATATGTTTCTCAAGCCATTAGGGCTGAGATTTGAACCAAGATCAGCCATGTGGGATTCAGCTTCCAACTAGGTTATGGCACTGGCCTTTCTCTTCCATTTTAACAATCTTCAGTTCTTGCTCCCTATTTGTCTGCACCATTACTCTACCTTTAAATATCTTCACATTGTGCTCCAGAGATGAAGTAAGTCTTTAAGTGGCTTTGGTGTCTTCTCCAGAAACCATTTTGTCTGGTTTATCTGTTGCCTTTTATAACTAAACTATTGAAGGGCAAGGCTGTATCTAGTACTCCTTGAATTTTTTTCAGTCCACTTGCTTCTCTGAAATGTCCCCTAAAACATCAGTGATCTCTTTTCAGCCCAGGGATTCTTTCCTCACATTCTTACCTTAGCGACCATTGGGCTGCATTTGGCAGTACGGATTACCTTATCTAAGAGTTTTTCTATGACACCATTTCTACCTCTTCCACCCCTCTCAGTGCACCTTGTACTGATCCCCACTTCTTTCTCTTTTTAAATGGTTACATTCTCATTGGTTTTGCCCATTTAATGGTTACATTCCCATGGTCTGTCCAGTTGCTTGCAGTCCATGTCCATGCTCACAATTGGAAATAACTATGTGGCAGTAGCTGTAGATTTTTTTTTTTTTTCTGGCCCTTATACCTTTTTTCTGCCCTCAGTTCTTTGGGGACAATTCCATATGGATGTTTTTACCTGTAACTCAAATATGGAAACTGAATTAACTATCTACCTTCCGCTCAGTAAACTTACTTCCCCATCATTGTTACAGAACCCTTTTCCCTCCTGTTCTCATATCAAGAGTTTCCTACCTTGGAGATACTTTTGACTCTTGCCTCCTTAATGGGCCTTAAGCTGTTCTGGGGGATTTGTCAATACATGGTCCTTTATTTCCATTCTACAGGTACCCTGCTCATCTATGCCCTCTTAACCTCTGCGAGAGCTTTCTAGGTGTTCTCCAGCCTCTAATTTTTTCTTTTGCTCTACAAAATTATGTATTACTCATAAACAATTTTCTTTATTGTCACTTCTTTTTCTAGAATATACTCTTCCAGACAGGTCAAGTCTGAGGCTCTTTTGTCTTCATTTGAGGATTCTTATCAGCTAGATTCTTAGTTTTTATAG